AGTTTGTGATTTGAACTATGCAAGAACGGTTTCTAAATTTGTAGTTTGAAATGAAGAAGAAGATGGACATGGATAGATATAACTTCTAAATCTAAATAGATATTTTTCGAAAACGAAGCATTATATCGAAGTAAATCTAGAGTCCATTTTTTTTTTGCAAAAACCCCACTTCTGTCATAGTTTATTGTTTACATTTGGAAATATTAGATTATTAGTAAATATTCTACTTCCAGTTTGCCTCCGATTCGGGTATATCCGTTGGTATTCCCTTGGTGCCGCTAATGCTCTGCCATTACAAAATTCATACACAAAATGAATGTCTATTAAAATTATTATTAAAATTCTGCATTTTTTCTTTAGATTTTACTTGATATCCAATGCAGCACCGTAAAGTGAAAGCAAAAAATTTAAGTTTAATAATCTGCCAAATGAATTCAAGTAAACAAACGTTTGTTTTCATGGCCTACCTCAGGAGTTTTTTCGGGGCGCTCTTCTCGAAATCATCTTATAATATGACGCATGCACGACTGTGGCCCCCTAGACCGGAGTCCTCGAAATTAAATTTGAGTTAAATCCAATTGAAGTTAAGAATAGGTTAGAAATGGCAATTGATTTGGAAATAAATGACTTTGATTTGTTTTTGAAACAACACTTGTATACATTGTGACATTCGTTCAATTTATTCCCTCTATTTTCATCTTGCATACTTTAAATGAGATCAACAATTCCAAAAAAGTTATTGCAGTAACAACGGCAGTGTCAAATATATTAAAAATTCACTGTTTATTGTATTTTCTGGCGATGACGCCGATTTCAAGGTTCAGGTTCCGGTGCACCAGGTGTCCGGGGGGTGGTCGCCGACGCCAGATTCGAGAAGAGCGCCCCGAAAACACCCCTGATACGATTTTCGGCTCGTTTACGTGAATTTTACAGGAAAACTCCCGGAGATGATGTCCATGTACAGGTTCCTGTGCACCAGGTGTCCGGGGGGTGCTCGCCGATGCCAGATTAGGAATTAGCGATCCGAAAAACCCCCGGGTGCCAAGTCTCGTTGCATTTAAGAGTGAAATTCAGGAGAAGCCTAAGCTCCAGGCCGGCGATGGACCAATTTGAAGGTCATATTCGGGATTAGCGACCTCGAAAACCCCCAGGACCCTGATTTTAGTCCATTCCAGGTATTATTAACCGAGTTATGAATTTTTTCTAAGTGACTTTAAAAAATGCATTTTCCGGATGCATTTTGCACTGCACAAATGCAATTTGGCCGAAAAACATAATACAAAGGTGCTACATTTTTTTCACATAATTTTAGAAGCCGAATGCAAAAAAACCCATCTTGATACGACTTGATCGAAAAATTTCGGAGGTTCAGTGCTTTATTTCCTCGACTAATTATTCTACATTACAAAAGTACATATACACACCCCCCCTTTCGTTTCTGAAACCCAAAATCCACGTGTAAATCAAATTTTTACTTCCCAGGTCCTGAATAGACATCGGTAAATATTTGAGTCAATTTAATATTATCTGTTTATCAAAGCAATTATGGAACTAATAGCCTGGGGAAGAACTGACGTTATCAGTTTAGAGATTTTCGGTTTTGGTAAAGCTTGTGTTATGATGCCGCTTTGGCATCACTTTGGCATTCTACTGCCAAACTTCTACAGGGTGTTCTTTAGACAACATTAATAGTAATGAACTAAGGGTTAATTTCGACTCCTTACGAAGTTAAATATAACAACTAGAAGACATGTTGACAATGTTTTTTTAATAATATCTAAACCAGTGATAATAATTAAGTAATAATATCAGTAACAAATTTGGAATAGGTTTTCTTAATTTATATCTATATAGGGGATAATGGTAGATCTACCATACAGGCCTTACAGAAAATTATGGAATACATAGTAATGTTCCTAGAAAACGGAGAACACGTAGCTGTTACGTTGTGTGACTTGACTAAGGCATTTGATTGTGTCTCCCACGGCTTACTACTGCGGAACCTAAGTTGCTATGGTGTTAGATTCAATCTGTTCTCAAGTTGTTTGACGTCAGTGTGTTACAGTTAATGGCAATTCTTCCAAGTTTGACCGTATTGATCACGGTGTTCCCCAGGGTTCTGTTTTGGTGCCCTTGCTTTTCGCAATATATCTTAATGACTTTTGCTTTGCTACCGCACCTAATAAGTGTGTACTATTCTCAGATGACACCACCCTAATTAATATGAATAAATATTCCTCATGTCTAACTGAAGATTCATCTAACATGTTATCTAAAGCAATAAATTGATTTAACAATCTTAAAATTAATAGAGATAAATCCCCAGAGTATAACGTTTACCACTACTCCAGGGCATGTAGAACATAAATGTGTTAAAATCCTTGGTATTACAATTGATGATAAATTGACTTGGTCTGACCATGTTGAGTCCATGAATAAGAGGTTGTCTGGAGTAGTTTTTTTGTTAAGGCAACTGAGAGAGGTGATTAGCACTGATACTTTAAGATTAGTTTATTTTTCCCTCTTTAATTCCATCTTGTCTTATGGTATTGTGCTATGGGGGGGCTGCTATAGCGCTTTAAAAACCTTTAGAACCCAAAAAAAGCCATTTGTATTCTGGCCAACGTAGGTTATAAAGATCACTGTCGCCAACTTTTGTGAACCTTGCAATCATGCCCTTTCCATCGCTATTTGTTTATTACTGTTTATTGGATATTCATAAGAATATTGCCAGTTACACGGTTCAATCGAATATACATAATTACTGTACTTGTACTTCTAAATTATTGCGGCTACCTAGATATCGCTTAGCACAATTTTTTGAAGCTACTTTGATGGGAAATTCAATATTCTAAATAATTTTTCCTATGATCTATAGCGAAATTTTGCTTCGTTTTCGAAATATAAAATGACGCTTTGAACGATTCATGCAATAAAATTGCTTGAACGTCACAGTTCTTTTTAATCTTGTTTTTGTTTTGGATATAATCAATAGCCGAAATGTAGTTTGAAAAAATTAGTTTCCGAAATAAGAGCATATTAATTTCTATGTGTGGAGTTAGAAACGTTTTTCTTCAGAAACGTTTCTGACAATAGTGACTACAATTCTATTTAGGTGTAGCGGCAAATGTACAATCTAAGAAATAGACCTTTTGCGCCACTGGTAACTATAGAAGTCAAAAATATTACAATACTCTGCTGCCTTCAATTTTTCAGTACATTCGTAAAGAGATATTCCCTTTTGAGTCCTGACATCTTTCTTTTACAAAAACCTATATGAATCCTGGAATTAAGAGTAACATCACAAACGAATTTTCTCACCGTAACAAAAAACAATTTTTTTCTTAAAAAGTATAGAGTGTGCTACCCCACATTTTTCACTGTTTATACAAAAAGACATGCCATTTCGAGCCCTGCTTTCAGTTTTTTCCAAAAACCCGTAGAAGTCCTAGAATTAAGACGCAACTTCAGAAACGAATTTTTGCGCACCCTTATACAACAATTTTTTTCTCAAAAAGTATAAAGTCAATTTTTGCCTATATAAAAAGACATGCCCTTTAGTGCTCTGCTATCAGTTTTTTTCAAAAACCCGTAGGAGTCCTAGAATTAAGACAACTTGAGAAACGAATTTGCGAAGGGGCATGTCTTTTTGTATAAACAGTGAAAATTTGAGGTGGCACACTATACTTTTTGAGAAAAAAATTGTTTTATGTTACGGTGAGAAAATTCGTTTCTGATATTACTCTTAATTCCAGGATTCAAATAGGTTTTCGTAAATAGACGAGCGGTCCACCCCTAAAAAGATGCTTAGAAAATCAACGTCACCGACCACGAGGAGAGGCCAGAATAAAACCTTTTGTAATCGATGCATTGAGTTATTGCGAACAAAAAACCTAAGTAACACAAAAATGTTACTTAGGTTTTTTGTCGATCGATTACAAAAGGTGTCATCCTGGCACCTCCTCGTGGTCGGTGACCTTGATTTTCTAAGCATCTTTTTTAGGGGTGGACCGCTCGTCAGGACTCAAAAGGAAATATCTCTTTATAGTCCAATTAAATAGGCCATTAAATCGCAATTTTGGGCAACTTGCCTGAATTTTTTATATAGGCTAGTTTAAGGTATATAATAACAATAAGTGACAGTAATTTTTTTTCAACCCCCGGCCAGGGGTGAAAAAAGATAAAATAAAGGGTTTTTCAAGTTAACTCCAAAGGGGTAAGAGCTAGAAAAAGAAGTTTCTTATAAAAGTTGTAGAGCATAAAATTCTACATAAAAATGGTGTATTAACTTTTTCTTGTACTATCAGAGTTAAGGAGACTAGAAGTTAAGGGATGATTTCAGAAATTTAAAAAATCATAAGTAGAAAAATTAATGAATTTTATATTTTTTTTTCCAATTTACTCTTAAAAATATAACCTATCTTTTCAGAGAAATAGATATATTTTTTAATTTTTAATAAAAAAGTTATAACAATTTCACAAAACGAACGTGATTTTTTATGTTTGTCATAAAACAAAATTTCGAAAACAACTTTTTTTTATTTTAAATAATCGCTCGAATGGCATAGAAATAAATTGTTTTAGTGTTAAATCATAAAAATTAACGATTAAAAAATTTTAATTGTTTTACCTTTTTTAACATTTAATTTCTCATGATTTTTTAAACGTGCAAAGTAAAATAATATCCAGGACTGGCATAAGGCATAAGGTGATTCATGGAGCTTTCCCGCTGAGTCAATAAGACCCTTATAAAGCTCACCGATGATTCACAATCAGTGCTTTAGATAAGTGTACTTCAAACAACTTCTAACATGTTTTTTGTACAAAAAACTCCCACCCCTGCATCACCCGATAGATAAAACGCTGTCGTATCCCCAAAATACAAACAGTAATGCGTTATCAGCAATTATCATCCCTACCTATTTATCTTTCAGATAAAAACAATGGTAGATTAACCTGCACCAGCTGCTCGCTGACTCAGTGGCTCCGAAACCATTCTGGGGGTATTTCACTGAGACGACATAAACCGACTTTTATTCTCGCTGGTCTCGCTACTCCCTGCTCGCTAGTCGCTTGCGAGAGCTGGAGGTCGTAGAACTATGGATTCTTCCAGTTTTACACCCGCTCTGCCAAAATTGAAACTAAGGCGCCCGGATTCGCAAAAGATCGACCTGCTCACCATACCGGAGCATTCTTGTATCAGCAATTTTGTTCCTTCTACCGACAGTGCAGTGCATGTGGGATTCAGAGACATCTCCTACACTGTTAAAGTGGGATTATTCAAAAGAAGTAAGTGAATTATAATTTTTTTATTTATTAAAAACGATTCATAAAACACCGCATAACTAAACATTATTTAATCCATCCGTCGTAATTTTCCGACAGAGGCATAAAAAGATAATACTTATTAATTGTATTAGGTACACCCAAATAATATATCACGTAGATAGGAATGAAAACAGTTTTGTCGAATTATTATCATCTACCTAGATACCTATCAGGTTTAAAAATACAGATAGTAACAAATACCTGCAATTTCAATCTTTGAAACACATTGTTTATGATACAAGTAATAATTTAATTTCATACTGAGTATAAGCAACGATTTGAGAGAAAGTAATGTTTTGAAACGTTTAATCTCAATGTTGATAAACGATTAGATATTTTGCGTGTATTTTATTTCGTAATGTAATTTCAATCGCGCACAAAGTACAAAAGGAAATGACATTGATATTGCATGGCTTGAAGGTAATCTAAACAAAGCAAAACGCTTCAAGCAGGCATTGACATCGATCAGCTGTTTAATGTTGGTAGAAAAGAGACGGAAATTATTTGTTTTCGTGTCGTCCAAAACATGTGTAAAGATATACAACATACAACAAAGAAATGTATCCACAGAAAATCGAGTTTATACGAGTCATTTTCGGATGCGTTCGATTTGGTGCAGCAGTGGTATTTTAATTTGTGTGTAGGTTTCGACATGAATTTAAGGGCGCTGTTCCTATAAAAGAAAAAGGTTTTAAACATTTAATATCACTATTTAGTGCTTCTGTTATCACACCTGGCTGTTATTTGCAAAGGTAACGAACGCAGAACAATGAACAAAAAGCAATGAAACATCGGGCTGACATAGACATGTTTAAATCTGTTCTCTAGAAAACAGCTGACTTCTTATTGGATTGTAACGAAATACAGGCTGTTACAAATTCGCTTCTCACTGCAGGGATCTCGGAAACGGTAAGAGGTACGAAGTAGCTTAAATGGGGGCAAAGTTGCGTAATCAGGGGACCAATATTATGCCTCTAAAAAATCAAGGCTAACATTAGTTTTCGAAATATTTGAAAATAACCGAAATTTTGGAAATCCGTTTTTGTTTCATTTCAGCCTTGTTTGAGGTGATATTGTAAAAAGAAGAACACTTTCTCATGACCACTGTTTGCCCTTTATCGAATGGCACAATCAATTTTTATATGTAACGTTTCGTCTCTCCAAGACCATCATCAACTTCATTTTTTTAAATACTAGAAATTTTATTACATTTTTTGCAAGCCAATACTGTACTGCCTCAGCCCGAACCAGATTCAAACGTTTTGTCTCAAAAAATTCATCTTCAGTGTATTCGTTCCAAATTTATTTAAATTTTTTATTTAGATTTCTTTGTTTATTGATTTATCGTACACTGTAAGTGTCTTTAGACCCTGTGAAATCCATTTAGTTATTTAAACTATTACCACCATACAATAAAACATTTATTATTATTAACTATTACCATCACTTGGTCATACATAACTCAATAAGTTGTAGCGTCAAAATTGAAACATTACAATTTTAATTTTATTATGAAAAATTAATTCTTAAAAATGCATATGAACAACCAAAACGCACTGAATATTATATTATTCATTAAAAAATTTCAGTAAATGTTCAAAAACATTTTCGTTTTGACAAAGGTTGAAAATGAAGATCAGCGTAATATTATCGAAATTTATTATATCTGTAACCGTAACTGTGAAAGAGCATGTCAGATGTATGTGTATGAATATCCTGAAAAAAATAGATCAAAATTTGTTTGAATTTTGAGCACTCCAGAAGCCTAGAAATAACTATGGACACCGGAATAAAACTGTAATTATTTTAATGCGTGGTGGTAATAGTTTAAATAACTAGATGGATTTCACAGGGTCCAAGGACACTTACAGTGTACGATAATTCAATAAACAAAGAAATCTAAATAAAAAATTTAGATAAATTTGGAACGAATACACTGAAGATGATTTTTTCGAGACAAAACGTCTGAATCTGGTTCGGGCTGAGGCAGTACATGGTAGGGGTCATGAAGGCTTGCAAAAAATGTTATAAAATATCCAGGGTCGTATTTAAAAAAATGAAGTTGGTGATGGTTCTGGAGAGACGAAACGTTACATATAAAAATTGATTATGCCATTCGATAGAGGGCAAAAAGTGGCCATGAGAAAGTGTTCTTCTTTTTCAATATCACCTCAAACAAGGCTGAAATGAAACAAAAATGGATTTCCAAAATTTCTGTTTTTTTCGAATATTTCGAAAACTTATCTTGTTAGTCTTGATTTTTTAGAGGTATAATTTTGGTCCCCTAATTACGCAACTTTGCCCCCATTTAAGCTAGTTTGTATCTCTTACCGTTTTCGAGATCCCTGTAGTGAGAAGCGAATTTGTAACAGCCTGTATACATACGTCAAGACAGAACTTAGAAGAATGTTGTATTCGTTTTCTCTTATTTCTGGTTTTATTTTAACTATGACATATTAATAAACCTTTTTAGTAGTGACGTCACATACGCCACCATAGTACACATTGTTATGAAGAATTTCACAGTATTTTTACTAGATCGATTTTCGACCTTCTGTACTTTGGACATGTGTCAAAAAATGTCTTCTTCGTCATGACCTTAAACATCCTGATATTCTGGCAAAATTAGAAATATTTAAGAAGTTTCAAATCCCAAGTGACAAACTAAAAGAATTATAGAATTTATATATTTTAAAGAACAATATTGACTTTTATAGTAATTAATAAATTAAAATTATATCAGTGTTACTGAACATGCGCATTAAAGATAATTTCTTGTAAACCAAGTAGCCTCGCAACAGGATATCATTCAAGAAAATGGTTATGGTTAAGAGTACGTTTATAATAAACCACTTGAAGAAATAAACACTCGATCAACTTACTAAAACAATAAAAATACTTAATAGAACTAGAAAATGTCAAGATTAAACAAAAGAAGAGAAAATACGCTACTGATGATAACAATGATATATCAACAAGATCTCACCTGCTCATTAGGCATAACACGGCTGATGTTAAATTTTTACTTTATTTAAATTTAGGACTAATCTTTTATGTCGTTTTTTGTAAGTTTTAAGCACATTAGTGCATTTATTTTACGAAACACTTGTTGATTATACTTAAATACTTCTAAATCCTTGTAAAAATAAATTAATTAATTTGAAGTTGTCCATTTTTATAGTATCTATGTAAATAATACACAAGGATAAGATTGGGTCTGCACAATTTGTTGCAGGTTGCCTAAATATGTGACGTCACACTAAAAGAGTATTAGAGAAGTTGACTTGGAAATTCTACATCGGTACACATATTCAACAATAATAATTTGGAAATACTGACAACTCCTATGTTAAATATTTTATTACCATTGTTGTTATTATTATTATTATTAAATATAACTTTACCGACGTTTAAAAATTCTAGCATTGAAATTGACGTTTAACGTCTCTGATAGGCCCGCCTTAAATGACAGACACTGTCGTGCTTATTATCTACAGGTATTTAGATAACTTAAAAGATTGACTGGTTTTATTTTAGAATTGGGAAATTGATAAATTACCAACACCGTAGATTACGGATTATTAAAATAAAAGCTTCATTAAATGTTCTTAAATAATAATATTGTGGGGAACAACTGCTCTGCGGACTACATGCCCCGTCCATTCAATTAACTGTTAGTGTTGATTGTTACTAGATGTTAACACTCAAAATTTGTGAATAGATATAGATAGAATAGAATAGATAAGATGTTAAATTATCGAAATGGACAGAATGTAATTATTGTTTTTTTATAATAATATATCTTTCAAAATTTGAAAGAAAAGTTTAAAATATTTAATATATTTTTTAAATTTGTGATAGGCGATTCTGTATTATCAGAAATTTGAATTAGCTGCCATAAATATAAAAATAAATAAGCTTATCGATCGTTGACCGTATAATTAAATTTATTTATACGTACAATTAAAATTTGTTTCCGGTATGAATTTATCTCTTCTTATACTCGCATTTCTAGACAGATCACAGTACGACGCTTTAGTACGAAAACATGCTATCTCAGATTTCGGTTGGAAAACATGCTATCTCAAATTTCAGTTGCAAAACATGCTAGCTCAAATTAAGCTTGGAAAACATGCTAACTCAGATCTTTAAGTAAAAACATGCTATCTCAATGTGACTAGAAATTTAAGTTGGCACATTGAATGATTGAAACCGTGTATTTATAATAAAGTTATACAATATATTTTAAAAAAAGTAAGGAATGTTTATGTTCAGGTACACTGTTTATTTTATTTTTTTTATTCAACATTTTTCAATTAATTTTGTTAAGTTACTGTTATAAACGACAAAGTTGTCAATTAAAAAAATAGAATAATATGCAGTATGCTGCAACACGTACATTACTCGAGGTTTTTTGAAATAACAAATTATAAATAAATAGTGTATACCTTAATATATAAAAATGTTTGTTATTATATATAAATCAGGTAAGAGTTCGCTATTAATTTTTATATCAAAGCAAACTTGTATGAAAAATCGAATAATTTTTAGTAATAACAAACATTTTTATACAGGGTGTTTATTAATTGAATGCCGATACTGAAGGGTGTGAATCCTTGGGTCATTTTAAGAAGAAAACTTAATATCAACATATGTCCTAAACCTCTTAATTTTTGAGCTACAGGGTGTTACAGTTTTAAGAAAAAATTTACTTTTTTATTATAATTTTCTTATCACTCCAGATATTTTTATGAAATTTTGTACACACCTATTAATCATTAAGGAGCATTGTTTGATGTAAAAAATGTTTTAAAATCTTTGCCAATGACGTCCGTACGAGGTTTGAACTAAACATTTTTGAAGAAAAAAATGGTACGCCACTGCTTTTTCTAAAAACTAAAATTATTTTTAAAATCTCCATTTATTTTACAGCAAATTCGGTCCCTAGACTTACTCTCGTA